CTGCGCAGTGCGAAGGCATTCGATATTGAAAAACGCTTCACGTAAGCGCATACTTATTGCTATGCGGCGGCTCCCGAGAAAAAGAGATCTGCAGAAAGGCAAAGAGCTTGGTCTGAGGGACAGTATATCTGCTCTTGCTTGCTACTCCTATAGGGAACGCGAACGAGGAAGTGATAAAGTAATGGCTGACGATGGCTAATTATGGTGGTAATTACACACAGTCTAGTCACGTTAGGGTACCATTCTAAACACATTGGTATGGGGGAAAGCTGCACGAACCACCTCTTACAGGCGTACGCAATCAGTCGCATTACGTTCTCAGCCCTTCAGCAGAAGCGGTAGGCATGCGAACGAAACATTGCATTGATTGATTGATATGTAGGGTTTAACATACCAAACCAACCATATGTTTATGAGAGACGCCGTAGTGGAGGGCTCCGGAAATTTCGACCACCTGGGGTTCTTTAATGTGAACCAAAATTTGAGCGCACGGGCCTACGGCATTTTCGCCTCTAACAAAGCATTGCATGATGCGTGAGGCGTTCAAGAGTGTGGTCGGCATCCCTGTCAACGCGAGCGCCGACACGTTCTTCGAGCAGGGCCTGCGAAATACCCTCGGCAAACTGATCGAGGCGCACAGCGTTGTTAACACAACAGCGACCGGAATGGTAGTGAGGTAATCGCCTGACCACATTCAATGACAACACACAACCTTACAGACTAAACAGACGCAATTACCCTCCACCGCACAACGAATTAAAGCAAAGACAGGCCGTAACTTAGAGGTTGTTACAAACAAATACGTCGTACCCCAGCCCGGCAATCTTATACATCTGTATCATCCGAACCCTACGGACGCGTGCAGAGCGTGCGAGAAGAGGGTTACACTGCGTGACATGCTTTGGGAGTGTGTCGGGAACGTCAATGTCGCTGCCCCCGCTCCCGAGCACCGAGGTGAATTGTTGCTGCTACCACCGCTCGAGGGCCGGGGCCCGGTCACTGGTGCGGATAGACTGCGTCAGCGTCGCTGCAGGTGGGAAGTGGCATGCACTCACCAGTAACGAGCTGGTCGACCAGCTTCGGGCCATCCGACTAGCAGAAGATGCAACCGGGTTCAAGGACTTTGAGCCATCACCTGAGGCGCCACCATCATCATCATTGATGAGGGTGGGATGGGACAGGGGTTAATGTTTTTCTTTCCCCTGCCTCACCCGAAGGAAACTGCCAGATTTAATTAAGTTTATTCATTCGTGCTTTCGAAAATCACACTATCTCTCTCTAAAGAGAACTATGACTATAGCTTACGAAGAAGCGCAAGGGTTGACTAGAAGTTTCTTTCACCACGGGCACCTTGCCCGATGTTAAGGCGTCCTTCCAAGTGGAGCACACAATAAATTCACAGTATTTTCTGTTGATGTCACTCGCCTAAAACTCTTCTTGGAGTACGCACGCGTGTTCATTGCCACGCCACGCTGGAGAACGTGCGTGCATCGCACGTCTGCACGCACATCTGCAGAATCTCGTTCCCCGACGCCATCGCGTGATTACTGAGACATTGTAAGGGAGAGGGACCACAGCCACTTACGCAGGTCCGAAAGTGCTAGCGCGTGCCGACGCGTTCTGTCTAAAATACAACGCGTTGGCTGATCGCACGTCTGCAGAATCTCGTTCCCCGACGGCATCGCGTGATAACTGAGACACTGTAAGGGAGAGGGACCACAACCACTTACGCGGGTCCCAAAGCGCTAGCGCGTTTCAACGCGTTCTGTCTAAGATACAACGCGTTGGCTGATCGCACATCAGCAGAATCTCGTTCCCCGACGGCATCGCGTGATAACTGAGACACTGTAAGGGAGAGGGACCACAACCACTTACGCGGGTCCCAAAGCGCTAGCGCGTTCCAACGCGTTCTGTCTAAGATACAACGCGTTGGCTGATCGCACATCAGCAGAATCTCGTTCTCAGACGCCATCGCGTGATTTTCAAGACATTGTAAGGGAGAGGGACCACAGCCTCTTACACAGCCACTTACGCAGGTCCGAAAGCGCTAGCGCGTGTCAACGCGTTCTGTTTAAGATACAACGCGTTGCCTGATCGCACGTCTGCAGAATCTTGTTCCCAGACGCCATCACATGATTGTTAAAGAGTGTAAGAGAGAGGTCGCAGTGTCTTACCCAGCCTCTTGTTCAGGCCAGAACGCGCTAGCGCGTGAGCACGTTCTGGCAGTGTATAGGTCAGCTGTTGCGCATGCGCTGTCAGGGTGGTCACGCCGCACACTGCTGGATTGAACTCTACCATAAGCTGCTTCTCATCTAATAACAGCGATGGTCCCATAATGCCCGTTCAATCCTCTATTGTTTAGACATGTCGAGATTCAACTGCAACACACACGAATGCTAGAAGAGGCTTAGAAACCACTATTATGCAAAGATGGCTGGCTTGCTCGCAGATACGCAAAGCCACACTATAAGAACAGCAAATAAGCAACACTGAAGCACCCGAGATGTTTGCAAATAGAAAATGTTCAAAACAGTAACCGCAATATTCCTTTAATCGGAGGAACTACAGCATGCTCTTAGAAAGCAATACTTACCCCGCTATCAGAGATATCTCACCATTTCACGTCCAGATTAATTGGGGTTAGTGACATGTTTTACGACGACGCGATGACGAGGCCTAGAACGTGCGCCAATGAACGACGAATTGTTTGACTTTTTAAATAATATATATATATATGGTTCCTTGAAAAAGGGAGCAGATGTGGTGGTATTTAACGGTTAAGAATGTATCTGCTAGCAGAAAGGAAGAAACAAACATTTATTTATTTATGAAAAATGTGATTCATTACCCATATCAATGTATATCACGCAGCACAGGTTCTTAATGTATTTTTCACGGTCATCATCATATAAGGACAGGTTTTTGTTTAGTCCAGTTTCTGTGTACGTATAATCGATTGACTGATTGATTGACTGATTGACTGATTGATTGATTGCTTTATTTATTTATTTATTGATACGTAGGGTTGGACGTCACAAAACCACCATATAGGAAACGCCGTAGTGGACTGTTCCGGAGATTTAGACCAGCTGGGGTTCTTTAACACGCACCCAAATCTGAGCACATGGGCCTACAACATTTCCGCCTACATCGGTATGATCTTTTGTAACAACAGGCAGCAAATAATACAAAGCTTCGATTCATCTGACTCTGTCGTCTATGTTTTGTTCCTGTTTACCCCTAAAGCCACAAAAAAGATGCACCACAACGACGCCTCCTGTTTACCAGCATGAAGCTTATCGTGAATAAACAACCGTCAAATAAAATCTTCAGTGACCTCGTCACACAGAGTGCCTATAGCACCGAAAAAGCCAAGTGCGTCGCCATAGTAGATGCACGAGTGGTTTTGCGAGATCTCTGAATGTTTTCATGCCTCATATTAAAGAAAATAAAGTATTTCGCGGGTATCGCTCAACACTGTGCTTGAGGGATCTCGACGTTTGACTACATTTGAAGTTCTTCGCTACATTTTTTTAAAAAATGAGCTCAATAAATAAGAGCATTGCACAAAGTGATAAAACGTGTGGCATTGATAGCAATCTCCGGAGATGCCGGCTACTTCACTATGCCGGCTTGACAAGAGGTTGACAGCGCCTATTCTGATTTGAACGTCAACGCGGCAGACGTTGGCGTTTCCGTTGGCGTTTCTGCATCCTTCACAGACGAAAAGAAATAAATGTACACATGCGCGAAGGAGAGACACTTCATTGTTCAACGTCGTTTCTTGTTGGTCCGTGGATCGCCACTCAGCCACAATGCCTTTGCGACATCGATGACGTTTTTGCGCAAACACGATGACGAGATGTTTTGCTGGAATTTTTCTTTAACTTGCTCGCTTCCTTTTGTTCTCTCTCTCTCGTAGTTTTTTTTTCTTTACTGCGTGCTTCCAGTGAAGGCTTCGTCAAATGCGATTCGGCGAGAAGCCTTTCCACGCAACCACGTCTGTCAAGTCCCACCCGTTGACAAGTACTACTTAAGTGCGGCTTCCTCGCGCAATAAGATGTGCACGCATGCGAGCTTCTACGAAGGACGCAGCAGAGGCGGAAAAAAAACTGGCCTAACAAAGAATGCGGGCTTTACAACGTCAAAAGAACCAGTGACCGTGAGGGACAAACGAGGCAGCGACTGTGAAGTTCAATGTCACGTTCTAGGAAGCTTTCATGTTTTCCTATACAATACAGCATCTGACTTTTCTCTGAAATTGTAAAACTGCTCTGTGCCTATAGACTCGTTCATGTACGACGAGACTCTGATATAAACTTAGAGCGACCTCCCAGTTAGAAGTGCTGCTTGCGATGACTATAGAGGAGGACACTAAGGCTCAAGGAATTTTTTTATTCCAAAGCCGGATCGCTTCGCTTGGTTAACTTTGCACGATATCACTACGTTTGTCATTTCTAGTCATGATCCACAATAGCTCGACAATCACCTTCATAACGTTGCAGCAAGGATTACAGAGAACACCCAACAGCAGCGCACAGTGCAAGTTGGTACGTCACGGTGAAGGATTATCAATAGCACAGGCGAAATCAGAGAAGAAAGCATTCTTCTTACGCTTTGGCGGTATGCATCACTCTTCACAAGAACGCATGAAATCAGAAATGTCTTGTTTTTGTACTATATACTCGAATAACATATTGCCGTAGACTTCAAGCTATACACTTATCTAAAATTAGAATGATTTGAAAAATATGACCCAATCGAACTTTTAATTTTGGCAAAAAGGTAAGTAGCAGGCTTCTGTGGCCGAGGTTACTGGCACTCCCATCTCCTTGAGATGTTCTTTGCAGCGACATGCATGACCGACGTTCTCAAGCAGCGCCCAAACAAAACCAGCAAATCTCCTTGGAAATCTCAATGATTTTCTTAACCCTAGAGGGTACATATGTTGAACAGATCTGTGGTCTTCGTTACTCTCCCACCTTCCTTGGTCGAGATCTTTACTTCCTGGCTATCGGCACGGTGACGCTTACGCTTACGCAAGACTTGCACGCCATGCACTTGGAGCAACGGTAGCTCTGCACTGATGTCGCTGTCGACTTCGACGAGCGGCGAGAGGACATGCGCTTGTTGCTCATCGTGTCTTCAACCTGCGACGAAGCTTCCGAGCTCTGGCGCTGCTTCTCGGCTCTCTTACGGCGGACAAACTCCTCCAAGCAGTCGAGGCACGGTTCGGGTGACTTGGAAAGCCTGCGCCGCTCAGGCTTCCCTTCCTCTTCCGAACCGCAAGGGGCACCGATCTCGAACTTGATTTTGAACTCCGTTTCGTCGGACGTCGAGGAGGCCTCCCGCTCGAGTGCCGGCTCCGGCTCGGGTTCGCTCTCGTACCAGCTCTGCTCCTGGACCACTTTAATGATGGCTGGCGAGATCGGTCGCGACTTCGACCTAGACGCCGGACGAGACTGGGGCTTGGGGCTCTTGGGAGGCATCGAAGCTGGCAGGGACTTTCGCCTCGGGGGCATCGTCACGGACGGTGGGCGCGCTGGCGGCGGGGTGCTTATCTCTTCAAGCACAATGCTTGTACCCTGCGGGAGGACGCGCATAACTTGCGATCCACTCGGGAGTCTCTGCGCCTTGCCCATGGGCACGTCGGCCTCCTCCTCGGAGGCGCTCAGGCTCATCTCCCGTTGCTCTTCGTCCTCTTCGGGCGCCGGCGGCGGGGGGGACGGTGGCTGCTGCTCGTGCACGATCTTGTAGACGGTCTTGCGTGACATCTGGTTCCTGCTGGGAGGTCGCCTCTCGACAACCGGTGGCTCCTCTTCAGATGCCGTTGTCACGAAGATGATTGTCTCCGAGTTCGGCACGGAACGACTCATGGCTGCGTCGAGAATGGAAGCCTGGCGAGCGAGGCGATGTCCCTGGGAATTTTCAGAGACTATAGGCGCAGGTGAGCTAGTCGACGAGGTGTCGACGCCTCGGCGTGCCGTAGTCACGGATGCCAATGGTAAGGCCCAAGGTCACCGCCTCCAGCCGCACTGCCTGCACTCGACCGACGCCAGTGGCGGCAGCCTGCGACTGTCCCTCGAGCCCGTTCAAAATCGTGACCACGAGGGCGCGTGTCGCGATACCGAATACAAGCAAAAGAAGAAGTGAGCAGTGTCCCAGAACAATTCAAGAAGGCACTCTATAAGTATTAGTTGCGAAAGTTTTACAGTAAACTGTCTCCCTCCTTTATTTTCTCTTCCTTACCTAACCTGTTCACTTGCAATTTCCCGCGAACGATCTTCCGTAGTGGGTGAATGGCATCTTGAACGGTGAAAACGGCGATTGTAGGATGATGTTGATGATGATAATGATGCTGATTATTATGATAATCATAATGATGATGATAATAATGATAATGATAATGATCATGCTAATGATAATGATGATAATGACGATTATTATTATTATTATTATTATTATTATTATTATTATTATTATTATTATTATTATTATTATTATTATTATTATTATTATTATTATTATTATTATTATTATTATTATTGTGGAGGTGGTGGTGATGGTGGTGATGGTGGTGATGATGATATTGATGATGATGATGATGATGATGATGATGATGATGATGATGATGATGATGATAACAACATTATTTGGGTCCAAAAAAGACGCAGCTGAGACCCAGCGCCACCCAGCTAGTCCCACGTTCACCAAGCCGAGCTTGGCATCCCGATCGTGGGAGCCTAATTTTTTGTGTGCCATATTTTTTTATGTTTTCACTCTGTAGCTCACACACGTACACACGCTCTTCCTGGAAACATAGCAAAAAAAGAAACTCACCGGGTTTCGTAATTCCCCTAAAACTAGCCGAAGGCAACAGCCATCCGGCATGGTTGTTTTAACATTTCTTCATATCAACCTACAATGTTCACTAACGAATAAAATATTCCTGGCACTAATTAATTCACTACCTACTAATTGTTATTTCATTGCCGTTATCTGTACCCGCTGTCGGGCTTTCATTTTTCTATGGCTTTCGCTCGCCTGAAAGTCAGTAAGCCAAGCGTCTCTTTTTTTTTATACCATTCAAGCGGCCGGCGACGCTCCACGGAAGCTTATCATGGCGCCTGCTGCGCAAGAACGGTGCATCCTGTGTCTTCGAGGACGGTCGGCCAGGCGATCATCTTTCTTTTCTTCTTTATCAACTTTGCACCACGGTTTCGCGAAAATATTATATTATTATTATTATTATTATTATTATTATTATTATTATTATTATTATTATTATTATTATTATTATTATTATTATTATCCCTTGTGCGAACGCCGAGTGAACACGTATCGAGGCACCCTGGTAATCATGCGGTGACTTTATGCCTGGCAACGCGAAAGCCGCCAGAATCACGTGACCACGCAGCACCACACAGTTGATTTCTGTGGCTCGTGCGCTACTTGTACCACACGCCGGCTCTCTACCACGTGAACATTGTCAAGAAATTTTTAAGGCACTCGCATTGAATTACTTACGCAATGTAACCATTTGGGTGATCTGGGCAGCAACCTATACATACCAATGAGCCGTCAAGGCGGAAAACCAATTTCATTTTCTAGCGGCTTGCGGATGTTTTTACAGGCATGCTCCGGCGAGACCGCCTATCCCTTTCAAATCTAGTGAAGAAAATTTTGTTGTTTTGCACTGTTATACTCGTCGAACATTCTCTTGTACATTTTTCTACCTGTCTGCTCTCTAACAAATGAAATCTGATCCGGAGCGACACTTCCATATCGACAGGTGCGTTCTGTCCCGAACTTTATTGACCGAAAGTATGGTAACGTTCATGAAGTTTCGATTTCTAGCTTATTCATATAAGCAAAGCACCCACAAAGCTGACCCAAATGAGCCAAGAAACATTTTATAAATATGTAAACACATATAATACTTTCACATTCAAGTCAGTTCAACCCAGAAAATTGCTTTGCATGTCTAAGCTCTTAATTTTTAGCTTTCCTTGCTTTGCTTCAGGGCACCGATAATAGGATTTCTTCCGGCGAGCATCTTGCCCGTGTGCCTTATCTTAACCGGGTTCATCGTTGTCACTCGCACCATTTCGCTGACCGCGACCTTGTCGTTGTGGGCATCGAGTGACTCTGTGTCGTTCGACGTGGCAGCACCGCCGTAACTGGCGTCTTCCGAGAAAAGCTGCTGCAGAAGGCGTTGCGGCAGGCAAGCGTCGCACTTAAGGCCATAGGTGATTGTCGTCCCGGCTACACAGGGGTGCACCAGGGCTGCTGAAATGAAGGAACCACTGAATATACGGACTTCCTGGAACGCCCATGGCAGTTTAAGACGGGCGTACACTTGACGCCTCCGGCAGCCCCCTGCATTTCGGATTGTGTAGGGTCCAAGTAGTATACCGTCTCTGAGCCTTGCCTCACCGTGGTACTCATGGCGACGGTGCTCGTTCCAGTTCACTGCCGAGGCTTCTACTTATCTTCGGATCGAGGAGGCTGCGCCGTTGGGAGTAACATTTAGAACGATGGGGCTTGCACGCAGGACGCAATTTGCACGACGAGTTTTAGTAGCGCCCTCCAGAAGCGGAATGGAACGGCAATGGCCACGATGTCTCGGTAGCCTGACGCACCTTTTGGAATGTGTGCTCGTGCACTGAGAGCAGCGATGACCACCGAATGCCCGATAGAAGTGTGAAGTAAAAAAAAACAATAAAAATTTGAAAAGCTTTCCTTACCGCAATGCGCCGCCTGTTTTGTAAAGCTGGCATATGGCTAGATTATTTAGCGTTTCATTACGTGTTGCCTTCCACACCCAGTCTTTAACTGTCCGGTGAAGTAGACAAGAAGCGTGGTAGAAAAAAACGACCACAACGCCAAAACAGATATTTTCGATTTAACCAACATTACTCCCTTTCTTGCTCTCGTCACATTGAAAGTACCAATTTTCTGAGACGGGTGAATGAAAGTTTTGTTCTTCATTTGCCTAATTCAACGGATTCTCAATCAACGTCTCACAGCTACGAGCTACGTATTTATTACAATATGGGAAAGAACAATGTTTATACAGTTTTATCAGGGTATAATAACCCCTTTTTTGTTGTTGTTCGCAACTTTTATTACCTGCAGTATTACAAATACGCCCATCGACGAGATTTAACACATTCGTGTTTAAATAGCTTAGCGGCTGTTGCGCTATACAAGTATTCATGATTTGTGGATGTTTTATGGTGCTGATGGCTCCATTTACACGTGGTGAAATTCGAGAACACTCGTATAGTTAGATTTGGGTGTGTCTTTATGGTCAAAAGTAATGTAGAGTACAAAGCATCGGCGTATCTCACCCTCTATCGTGGTTTCGGCACGGTAGAACCTCATGAACTGTTGCGAACATTTAGCGAATAATTTATCCTCCAAATCCCTCTTGTACATGTAGGCCAGCCCTGCATCACGCTACTTTGTTCCTGCTTATTTTGCGCACTGCAAAAAAAAAAACGTCATCAAAAATGAACAGATGATGCACAGTAATAGTTAATAATAACATCTGGAAGTTTTACATCCTAGAACCTCGATATGATTGCGAGAGAAGCCTAGTGGAGGGCTCCGGAAATTCTCACCACATGGTGTTCTTTATCATGTACAGGCATCGCAAGTACACAAGCCTCTCCCATTTCGACTCCACAGAAATGCTACCGCCATGGCCGGAATCGAACCCGCGACCTTCGGGTCATCAGTCGATGGGAAGTACCTGTTGCCAGCTATGATTTATCACGATCTGTCACCGATAACCGAGGCGAGCTGCCAAATGAATCATCATTGGTTTATCTTGAAAGTCTTACGAGTGGTTCGACATCAACGTCCGAAGGCATACGGGGGCGTCTGCAACACAAAGTCTGGCACATTAAAAACAGCTGGTCCATTAAACTGATTTTTTCGAGGCGATTTTTCAAGACTCCTAAGAACTAGCGACGTGCCCTTCATTCACATCTGCTGATGCATATGTCGTCTTGCAATAGCTACTTTTCTTCAGCAAGTATTTAAAAAAACATACCTTTAGCTGAAGGACGGCCCGGTTTCGATGAACTCTGGACCGACCAATATGGCTCCGCGACGGCTGTCATGTTCATAATGAAAAGATGAGCATGCCATGTCGACAACCATATGGCAACGCGTGCATGGCGACAGCTTTATGACGGCAACGGCATCTTCAAATTACATTTTTAAGCTGAATATGTGTACGATGAGATCACTACGACGGGACAACCACGACGGTATCAACGTGACGGTATGGCGCGTCGTCATCAGGCCGCATACCATCAGTGACTTATAAATGAATTATGGTGTGCTCACGACGTCATTGATATTGTGTGCCGACTACTAAATGACAATGACTGCACAATTGCGATGGCTGGTTGAAGACCACAAGATGACCATGAAGGGACAATGGCGTTTTGATTGCACTATCACAGCCCAGTGTTGATGACAGTAAAGACGTGGAAGCGACGGCGTGATATTGATAAGGTGGTCAGAATGAAATGAAGGCGATAAAATATCAAATGAGCATATGATAACAAAAGGTCTCGCAGTAGAGCTCGCGCACTCACTCGTGTGCATCGTCTACTGGCCGGGGTTGTCTCGATTTGCATTGTCTGGTCAAGCGAAGGTATAATCACTGGACGGGCTCGGAGTGGGAAAAAGACGTGAAGTTAACTTTAAGTGCTCCCATAGCCTACGCATTTGTTGTATTTAGTGACTGTCCTCTGTTCGGCCTTCATATAGCTATGCATCTGAGGCGTATTACACATATAACGTGTCTCGTGTCATCGGCGTAATAGCAGAAAGTGACCGTCCTCGATTCCAAGCAAAA